GGGAATTTGCCCAGATACGCACCAGTATTCTTAGATATTGAGTAACACGTGTAATTACCTGGATATACCGTGACTCCATCGGGTGGCCTAACGTATCCATGAGTGACTGGGTAAACCTGTTTCCACGATTCACATGTTGAGGAATTTGTGGTGGATTGTGCATAAAGACTTAGAACAAATAATTCTACTTCAGGAGGTAAATTTAGAGGAACTGTACCCAGATGGGGCCTGGCTCCTCCACATACATAACAATTAGTCTTATTGTGTGAGTTAGCATTGTACCTCATCCACTCTAGCCACAAATTGGTGTCTGAGAACCCAGTTTCTACTGCCATAGTGTCTTCAAAGGTGGGGTTGGCTATAGCTACCATGTCATGTAGAGTCTTAATATGTGGTTTCAACGGGTTAATAGTCATGTGAGTGGTTCCTACCCAGTCTGGTGAGGTAAGCATGTCCTGTAGATAAAATGTCCCCAATTTATTATATGAGCCGCCTCCCCTCCAGTACATTCCCATTACATATTCCCCTGCGTCTTTTGGGCTGGGGTGCTCTATGTTCAAGGTAAGTTTGATGGGGGTTGACCCAATAGGTTTACTTAAGGTCATTCTGGAGAGTAAAGGTTTTCCATCTTTGTCAATTCTGTCTAATGCACTCTGGGGCCTGTAACCCCATGGTCTACCCGTGTTCCACCCGGCGGCTTTCCATGAACTACAATGATGCTCCAAGTTCCTCCAGTCACACAAATGTATGGATCCTTTTTGTTAGGTATGTCCTTGTATATGGCTGTATATTGTGCTTGTGGGAAGGTACAAACAACTATGTCACAGTAGTCAAAAGTGTATGTGGCTACATCTGTGTTAGAAGAATTGTACCAGAAAGTGTAAACATGATTATCTTTGGTTATGGCCACCTGTTGGGCCCAGGCAAATTGTAGCAGAGTAAGAAAACACAGAATGCATAACAAATTCATATTTCAGTAGGAGTAGCCTCTTCTGGAGTAGGCACTTTCTTGCAATGCGAAGCGTGTATCCAAGAACTCTTTCCGGCTAGCTTAACTGACGTTGCTGTGATCAGGAGCACTTGATAAGGGCCATCAAACCTTGGCTCTAGGGTGTGTTTCCTGAGAAATTTCTTGACCATCACCCAATCACCAGGGAGCAGCTTGTGTGTACCTGTATTCGACTCAGGATCTGGAATAGAAGAAAACACTTGGGCATGGATTTTGGACAAGGCATGTGAGAGGGCAGTCACATAATCTACCATAGCATCTGACTGGATCTGAAGTTGTTGAGGGAAGTAACAACCTAGCCTGGGTGCTGTACCAAACAAAATCTCATAAGGTGATAGGCTATATTTTCCCCTAGGAGTGTTCCTCACACTAAACAACGCTAATGGGAGACTCTCGGGCCAGGGCATGTTAGTTTCCTGTGACATTTTAAGCATTCCGGCTTTTAAAGTGCCATTCATGCGCTCTACCTTACCACTACTCTGTGGGTGATATGGTGTGTGGAATACAAGGGTCACCCCCAGTGCTGACCAGACTTCCCGTGTCAACGAGGCAGTGAAGGAGGTCCCTTGGTCACTTTCAATCACTTCTGGAACTCCATATCGGCAGACAATTTCTGTTAAGAGGTGCTTGGCCGTAGTCCTCGCGGTGAGATTAGCCACTGGGAAGGCTTCTGGCCATCCTGAGAACATGTCCACAATGACTAGTGCGTATTCATAACGTCCACTTTTTGGCATTTGAATATGGTCAATCTGTATCCTCTGAAAGGGGTATTGGGGCTTAGCCAGGTGATTAGGTGCGGTTTTAACAATCTTCCCAGGGTTACATTTAGCGCATATTGTGCAAGATCTACAATAATTCTGTGTCAAGCTAGTAATGCCTGGTGCTTCGAAATACTTATCAATCAATGAGTTCATCAAATGTTTTGACAGGTGGGCCGACCCATGGGCCCATTGAACTACAGCTGGGTACATATTTCTGGGTAGGCAAAACTTGAGATTGATAGTGTAAACATCATCACGGAGAACAGCTCCTTTGTTCTTCCAGCTTTGTTTCTCCTGGGGAGTAGCGGCTGCTTGTTGTTCCTTTAGAAGCCTGAGATCCATAGGCAATGTCTGCATAGTGTAGATAGGTACTGTGTCAGTGGCCACTCTTCTGCCCACTTCCCATCCCTGTCGTGCTGCTTCCTTGGCGGCCTGATCAGCTAAGTGGTTGCCCCGTGCTTCCTCTGAGTCTAGCCTTCCATGGGCTTTTACTTTCAATACCGCCACCTCTGCCGGAAGTTCTAAAGCGTCCATCAGTTCTGCGATGGCTGCCCCATGTTTCACTGGGGTACCGGTGGCCGTGAGAAATCCTCTAGTTTTCCAAATTAGTCCAAAGTCATGTGCCACTCCTAGGGCATACCTTGAGTCTGTATAGATATTGACACGTAGGCCTTCAGATAATTTGCAGGCCACGGTTAGGGCTGTTAGCTCGGCTTCTTGGGCTGACTTGGTTGGCTGGAGGGCAGCTGCTTGTAACACTTGACACCCTGTGGTGACTGCGTACCCAGTGTGATATTGTCCCTGCTCATCAGCAAATCTAGAGCCGTCCACAAACAGTGTTTGGTCTGGGTTGAGTAAAGCAGCTTCATACACTGTCGGCAAGTGGGTAGTTTCCATTTTCATTTGTTCAAAACAATCATGAGGAATATCAAGGTCACAGTCTATGGTGAGTAAGTCCTCACAGACTTCTGTGTGGTACCTAGGGTACCCAGCTGTACAGTGGTTAATAGCCTTTTTGGTTATCCCCATAGAGGTCAGTTGTTCCTGGGTTGCTTGATTCCAGGCCTTGGCCATCGGGCCCAAATCTCTCCATGGAATGTCAGGGGATTTAGTGAGAGATATGTGTGGGATAGCTGTTTCCCAATGATGGTAGAGATGTGTCACATTCTCTGGGAGATGAACTAATATGATCATGTTACCTGTTGAATCCCATAATAAGTCAGTCAGAGTGATTTGAATTTCCTTGAGTTGGTACAGTTCTTCCTCATAATTCATATCAGGGCCTGGACTGCCCTTAAACCACAGGGTGCAGTGGAGTAAGTTCTCTGATTGTTCATCATGTGGGGGTGCAAGGGCAGGCAGCTGCAACTCTGCTCGAACCTCTGGGTTGATGTCCAAGCTATACCAGTATTGCACAATTCCCCCCTTGGAAAGTGGCAGAAGAGTGGCCGGGTTCAGGGAGAGACACCGCTGAAGTTTCACATTGTCAGGTAACAGTAAAGAAGTTTGCAGGCGAAGGTGGCGTTGAGAAGAGAGGTGCTTAGGCTGAACTTGGAGGATTGCAGTAATATCATGAGGGGCCAACACAGTGAGGTGGTGACCAAGAACAAAGTCATTAGTCTTGTCCAAGAGGGCACTGGCAGCAAACACCGCTCTGAGGCAGGAGGGACTACCCCTAGCAACAGGGTCAAGCATGCAGGAGAAATAGCCAATAGGCCGCTGTCTTGAACCATGTTTTTGGGTAAGGACTCCGGAAGCATGTCCAGACTTTTCAGAGACAAACAAATTGAAAGGCAACTGGTAGTTTGGAAGGCCCAAGGCAGGTGCTGATGTGATAGCTCTCTTCAGACTGTGAAAGCAGGCAATAGCATCTTCAGAGAGATGGAAAGGTTCACTCCTGAGGGTATCATAGAGTGGCTGCATGAGCTTCGAGGCTTCAGGTATCCAGAACCTGCAGTACGTGATGAGTCCCAAAAAGGCATGAAGAGACTGGTGTGCTGCGGGCAATGGGAGTTGTAGGATAGCTTGTACACGTTGTGAAGTTAAATGCCTGGTGCCATGGGAAAGACAATGTCCCAAGAAGACCACAGAGGGCCGGCACCACTGTAGTTTGGATTTGGAGGCTTTGCAACCCGCTTCAGCAAGGAAACATAGGAGATCCTCAGAGTCTCGTTCTGCAGTGTGAAAGTCTGTAGCACAGAGAAGGAGATCATCGACATATTGGAGGAGAACAACATCGGGATGGGATCTCTGCCAAGGTTCAAGTACCAAAGACATAGCACGGGCAAACTGTGTGGGGGAAGTCTGGGCCCCCTGAGGCATAACAGTCCAGGTATATTGTTGTCCTTCGTGGGTAAAGGCGAAAAGAAATCGACAGGAAGGGTCTAGTGGCACACTGAAAAATGCATTAGCCAGATCCACAACAGTAAATATTGTGGCAGTAGGTGGGACCTGGGACAAAAGAGTGTGAGGGTTTGGAACTATGGCTGTATCTTTGACAGTTACTTCATTGACAGCACGAAGATCCTGAACCATTCGGTATTGATCAGGTAGGCCCTTGGCAGTTTTCTTCTTGACAGGGAAAAGAGGAGTATTACATGGAGACACATACTTAATGAGTGCCCCCTTGGCGAGTAGGCTCTCTACTTGTCTGGTGATAGCTTGAGCTTGTGCAGGTTTCAGAGGATACTGTGGCCTACGGGGGGGTAATGCTCCTGGCAGGAGCTTGACTACAACGGGGGGCACCTGGAGACGTCCGATGTCATCCGGGCCAGTGGACCAAAGCTTTGGGGGAATCCGGTCTAAAGCACTGGGGGTATGTGTGACCCGTGAATTCCCTGTGGAAGCAGTGAGATTTAACAATATGGGGAGAGAGCAGAGTACAGAGGTGTCTTTCTGTGATAAGGGTGTGGTTAACCAGGGCCGGACTGGGGATACGAAGCAGCCCTGGAAAAAAATCTATGCCAGCCCCATAAGTCATTGTGCTATGTAGGAGGGTGTATATATATATATATATATATATATATATATATATATATACAATTGAAATAGTTGGCTGCACTCTCGGATTTCCTGAAAATGTAACTTTTATTGAAATATTTAAGAGAAGATCAATGTTTCAGTCCCTCTTGTGGACTTTCGTCAGGATCATGACAAAAGTCCACAAGAGGGACTGAAACGTTGATCTTCTCTTAAATATTTCAATAAAAGTTACATTTTCAGGAAATCCGAGAGTGCAGCCAACTATTTCAATTGCCTATATATATATATATATATATATAGGCAATTGAAATAGTTGGCTGCACACTCATGCTTACTACAGACAAGCTCACTGTACACACATGCTCACCACAGACAGGCTCCGACACACCCATGCTCCTTACAGACAAGCTCACTAACACACACACACATATGATCCCTACAGACAAGCTCACTGACACACATACAAGCTCACTCACTAGCAGGCACACACACACACACACACACAGGCTCCCTCACTAGCAGATGTGCGCACACACACACAGAGGTAGACAGTCACTGACACCCAGGCAGACAGCCACACACACACAGGCAGACAGTCACTGACACCCAGGCAGACAGCCACACACACACAGGCAGACAGTCATTGACACCGAGGCAAACACCCACACATACAAAGACAGGCAGACAGCCACACACTCACATACAGGCAGACAGTCACACACACTCACAGACAGTCACACACTCACAGGCAGTCACACACTCACAGACAGTCACACACAGACAGTCACACACTCACACAGACAGTCACACACTCACAGGCAGTCTCACACAGAAACAGTCCCACACTCACAGGCAGTCACACACTCACACAGAGACAGTCCCAGACTCACAGGCAGTCACACAGAGACAGTCACACAGAGACAGTCACACACTCACAGGCAGTCACACACTCACACAGAGACAGTCACACACTCACAGGCAGTCACACAGAGACAGTCACACACTCACACAGAGACAGTCACACACTCACATAGAGACAGTCACACACAGATAGTCACACACTCACATAGAGTCAGTCACACACAGACAGTCACACACTCACACTCACACACTGACCTCCTTCTTCCCTCCTGCTTGCAGCTCCTGGAGGCTGGTTGTTGGGGAAGCAGGGACTCCTACCTGCTTCCCATGCTGCAGTCAGCCAGGCCCCCGCCGCACGCTAAGCCCCGCCCCCGCCGCACGCTAAGCCCAGTTAGCCCCGCGCCCCGTCGCACTAAGCTCCGCCCCCGCCGCAATTTTATTTTTTTTAATGATCCCGGCCGGCCGTGTGTGAGCTGTGCCGGCCGGCTCCCCCTGCTCCCATGGGGCTCTGTGCGGCCGGAGCTGTCAGCCCAATGATTAGGGCTGTCAGACCGGCCCCAGGTGCCGCGGCCCACCGGGAAATTTCCCGGTATCCCGGTGGGCCAGTCCGGCCCTGTGGTTAACTGGACCTGACCATCAGCAGTAAAGGTAATAGAAGCCTGGAGTCGGGAGAGGACATCAGCACCCAAGAGGTTAATGGGACAAGTAGAGGACACAACAAACCGAGAGAGAATGTGTGACCCAACATGAAGAAGCTTAGTGAGGGGGTTACTGCGGGGTGTACCATCGACCCCAACACAGGAGACATCGGTGTCAGACAAAAAGGAGGGGTCAGGCAGGTCTTGTTCTCTAAGGACACTACGGGCTGCAACTGTGTCAACTAGAAAGGTAGTTGGATGACCCTCTATGGGGAGAACTACAGTAGCTAAGGGCCCTCCTCCCTCCCCCGCAGACACTGCCATGGCAGGGGTTGCTGACACAGGCTTGCCGGTTACCTATTGCAATAAATCTAAATGAGCCTGGTCGGGCCCTTGGTACCGGCGGGTAGAAGTGGGAGGGTGGCTGGGCTGCATAGCAGGACGAGCTGGGCGGTTCTGTCTAGGCAAGGGTTGATTCTCTGGTAAATCAACTGTATCAAACCCATCAGCAGGGGCTGGGGGGTAGACACGGGTCTCAGGGGCAGGTGGCCGGGCCTGGGTATATTCAGGAGGGGGGGAAACTGAGGTAACGGGGGGTGAGGCAAGGAATGGGAGTAACCTGGGGCGGAGAGGCTGTAGCCGGTAATCTGGGGATTAGTATAACGGGGAGGTTGCGGCGGAACACTCTGAGATGTGGGCATTCTCTCCTGAAATGGCCGGTCTGATTACAGTTATAACAGGTCCTGTTTGTCGTGAGGGCCCGGTCCCGGGAAGGGGGAACAGCAACAGGGAGTGTTTGGGGCTGCTGAGTGTATTGTTGGGTGTATACCTGGGGAACATGGGTAGGACCAGAGATCGGTGTAGGTGCAGTGAACATCAGTGGGCTAGCTCTCCTTTGTGTGGGTTGTAAAACTGACTCTAAACCTTTGGCTACCAACAAAAGGGTGTCAAGTGGAATAATTCTGTACTCAGGGCGAGATAGGATCAGTCCCTTACGAATGTGTTCCTTAAGACCAGCCACGAAGGCTGCGGATAACATCTGGGTGTGTGCTTTGTTATAGGTACTGAACCCTAAGTCTGAGAAGGTCTGAGTTAACCTGGAGTGATATTTCTCAACTGACTCAAGTTTGTCCTGAACAATATCATTTATACAAGTAGCTTGATCAGCAAGTTTATCCTGTGCCCAAGCTCGGAGTGTCACGATTCGGGGAACCCAACACGCTGGCACACACACACACACACAAAAGGTGCCGTACCGGACCTTAGAGTGGCCGGGCTAAGCACACACAGAATAGTCAGGAGACAAGCCGAGTAAGGGGAACCAGAAGACAGAATAACGTGAAACAAGCCGAGGTCAAAGGGTAGGAGAAAGTCACAGAGTCAGATAAACAAGCCAGAGAGTACGTAACCAGAAGCACAAGGTAAGTAGCAATACTAGAAAGCAAAGACCACAACAGGGCAGGGAGGAACAGGAAAGGTAAGTGTAACGGACCGTTTTGCACACAAGGGGTAAAAAAACGCTTAGACGATAATCCCCTTTTTAGAGACAGGCACAGCTACTGTAGAATCACCAAAACTCACGAATCGCCAATAAGTGAATGCTCCAAACTCCCGAACGGCATACAAGGGAATAAGGTAGCACTTCAAATAAACGAACAGGAACCATACGAATAGCTGCTAGCAGGCGAACAGGAAAAGCTTCCAAGCGGCTTACACCCCTGGCAATCAGTCCTTAGCAGCATACAGTAAATCCCCCCAAAGACGAGACAAGGCTCCGTGTTGAGGGTCAAGCAGTGGTCTGTTTAATGAGGGCTACCTGCCCAGTATTTATGCAGATCTCCCACCTGGTGGACACTCCCCTAGGGGACCAAATGGGAGACTGTGACAAGGGACAGACAAGTGGACAAATAGGACACACAGTCACAATATTTCCCACAATGCATCCTGGCTTCCTCCCCTCTGCCTTGGGAGATAATTGGGAAGTAACTCAATTATCTCCCAAGACAAAGGCAAAACTCCATTACACACATGGGGACACAAAACCAGCATTATACTTTAAAATACACAAAGTAACATTTACTACATAAAACACAGATATGTAACATATCCCCAGATAGCTCAGGTCTGAGTGCACATTATTAGGTGAATGGCACTCAGACCACACGAATACAGTTTAATCGCCATGGAGCTAAAGTCTTTACACAGTCAGTTTCATACGAATGGGCTCCATGGGATTCCTATCTGGGGTATAACATTTTCTAACAAAACTACCGAACACCGGGCCGTTCGTGCACTTCCACCGAACAAGAAGGGAGGTCGGTGGCTTCAGCGGTGTTCGCACAAAACTGTGTCCGATTTTAGTTCCATGAAAATAGAGGCGAACACCGCTGTGCATTCGTATGGTTAAAATGGCCGCGACCTCGTGTTCGGGATACGAATGGCGGCCACCCGGCATTCATCAATTAAGCTGCGGTTAACCGCAGCTTCAGGGAGGTTAATTGCCGGCACACTCCAGCTCCCAGGTGGTCCAGTCATTCGTACGGTTGTTCGGTAGATTGAAACTACCGAACAACCGGCAGAAAAGCACGAATACAGCTTTTCTGCAGGCAAAATAAAGTCTTTTAAAAGGGGGCCATAGTCCAAAGGCAGCAGGCGAGCAACCAGGCTTCTCCAATGCAATGTGGCGAGATTGGTCTCGTCACAGTAAGTATTTAAACCATAAGGTTAATTCTGATTGGATAATTTCCAATCAGAATTAACAATCACACATATCTAGACCTCCCACTGTGATTAAGGCACTGTGCCTTTAATGCCGGGTCAGGTGACTGACTCCAGTGTGTATAAACCTGGGCGGTCTCCGAGCGTGCAGCGTCATGTATGCTGCCGCTGGGGGACGTGGAGGAAACGGCGGGCGGCATCCGAGGCTGGAAGGATGCCGCTCGCCGGACCCACGAGGAGGAGGGGACCGCGGACGGCTGGAGGGTGAGTACCGCGAGCGGAGTACAGCCTCCCCTCGCAGCCGCCCGCGGGATCCCGACACGGAGTTGCTCACAAAAGGTTATTCCAGAACGAAAATCAGTATCAGAAGTGAGTGGAGCATCATTAAAACTCCTCGTCATGTTCGGCCAGTATGCATCCTCAGCTTTAATTTCACACAAACTTAAAAGATCCCGCCATGCAGCGGAATATGTTTTCCGAATCTGAGCCATTCTTCGGAAAAAGGGCATAGGATGCTTTTCAGGATCAGGGAGTGAGGTTACGAGGGTGGCGGCTTGAGAGGGGTTAAATGTGACATACATGGGTGGTGCACCGTCCGCTCCAGGGTTAACCTGGGTATAGCCTCTGGGGATAGAGTGCCGTTGGGGGGGTCTGTTTCCCCCGGGGCGAGGTGAGTCCTGTTCCTCCACATCAACCTCCTCGGGTGCCGCTAGGCCTCGGTGAGGTGTGATCTCAGGAGAAACCATGGCCGGAGCAGCTGGGAGGCTGGTGACGGGTGAGGTGGTTGGGTGGAACCCCGAGGCCTGTGGGGAAACGCCCACCGCATAGGGTTGGTCCGACATCACTGACACATCGGACCCGACCACCATGATTGGGCAACTAGAACTAGCGGGGGAAGTATAAGGGACCAATGCTATGGAGGGGGTGGATGCAGGGGCTGGCTGGGATGGGCGTGATAGGTGAGTGTTAGCGAGGGCAGAGATTGGATCGGAGGACTCTGGGGGAGTGGCGGTAGGCAGGGAAGGGGTTGGGGGATCAGGAGGAGGAGGAGGAGGCAAATCTGCAGGGGGCGGGGTAGGGATAGCAGAATGAACCAAGGAAGTGACAGC